AACTTTTCTTGGTATTGAGAAGTCAAAGACAACATGCAAGGGGATCAGCAAAGTGAAGGAAGGTCTTAGGAACATTGCACATCAAAAATTTATATTGTCTTAGACATAAACACTAAGGTGTCAACACTTGAATCAATTAACGTTAAAGCTACTAACAGCCAACATTACTTGAATGCTTTGTTGTAATATTCCTAGTGCCATTTAGAGGCCCTTTATGTTTTAGTTCATAAACAATGATGATTTAAACCATCAAAGTGACAATAAGCGGGTATAAAAAAAGCTTCAAAAAGGCAAATGTCACAGTTTCAACTTCACATTTTTTATCTGTCAGTTTGTGTCACAACCTTATTATTCATATCATTTTGAGCCTACCTCTCCCAAATTACTAAGAAGGAAGGAAGAAAGCTTAAACCTGAACAACAGTCTCTATGCTAGAAAACTACTGTGCAAATACCAGCATTTATTAATACTCAGAATTACCCAGCACATTAGAAGTTTAATTATATTTACTTACTGGCCCATTTGTCAGACCCCATCTATTTCTATGCAAGAATATACAGGAACATACTGTAAATGATTATTTATTGCAAAGACTGGAAATCTGACCCACAAATCTGCTATTTCTACGCATCAGTGTTCGGTCTTTAGCTTTCCTTTCCATGCCTCTCTACACTCTCAGCAGTTCACACTATTAAAACACTGTATAATATGTCAATATTGAGATTTCTTTTAACTGCAAAGGACTACATACAAGTTCCTCTGCAGGTCAGTACAATCCTTTCAAAGTAAGACACTTTGCAAAGCTTATGACCTCCTACAACTGAAAGCTGTTTTTCACGCACAAGGACATCTGACTTTGAAAAGGTACAACTATAAAAAAAGTCAAACCTAGTTAATCACAGAACTTACCTACTCCTGAGGAACTCAAAGTTCATGCATATGCCCAAAGTTAATGAATCGACCTTGAAAACAGTCTTAACAGCAATTACATGTGTGGGTCTTCTGTAATCCTAGCCTCAGAGAACCAGCTATGCATTTCTGCATAAAGTTTTCTTTTTTAGAAAAATAAAGTTTAATAGCATTTTGTAAGGCGCTGAGCGACTATTTTCATGCAGCAGCTTGGCGAGGAAGATTATAGCAGCTGCAAATTTAGTACAAGTCATCAAACAGTCTTCAAACCTGCACCTTCAGGGTGGAAATGACTCAAGCTGGCTCAGTACACTCCACAGTCTATTTTTGCCCATGCATATTTATGAACAATTCCAGGAGAAAAACGCATTTTCTGGTCTACATTATAGAGACAAGACCTGTATACTGAAAGATGAAATATTTCTTAAACTGCCAGTCCAAAAAGGAGAGGTCATGCAAAACTGCCTACTTACCAGTGACTTGGTCAACTAGAATACGAGAAGTAATAATGCGTCCATACTGGGAAAAGATCTGTTCCAGTTCTTTCTGGGTCATTGTTTTTGGAAGTCCACTAACATACAAATTTGCATCTCTGATAGAAGCCGAACTTGGTCGCGCATAGGAAACCTGAGGGGAAAACAAACAAACAAAAAAAAACCCCTAGAAAACCAACACTTTAAAACCAGATGAAATAGGTTAGTAATTTGTTCTGAACATGGGTCACTGGGCCTTTAGATTTGTTTTTTATTTTTCTGGAGCTGGCTTCTGAAAATACGGATGGAATGCAACACAGACCACATAGAAGAAGCTGACTGCATGGACTCTCTGTAATTGGAGAATTACTTTCAAATAAATGAGAAAAAGCTAGGTACACACTCCAGCAAGCCTTGGTGAAGAAAATGTTCTCTGTTAGCTTACTGTAAAATTAAAAAGAAATTTAAGAAGTTCCAAGAATGTCTTTTTAATTCTCATTAAAAAGCACTAAAACATACAAGAAATGAAGATTTCAGTGTGATATCTAGGCCAAAAGCACAAAAAGGCAGTCTGAAGCACTTAAAGGTTTCCAAATGTTTTTCAAATGCTGTGACCTTTGTACATGTGTTGAGCATCCTGTCAAATGACACAATCATTCATGAGGTCAAGATAAACTCTGCTATATCACTTTCACAGGCCTCAGAATGAATGGCAGAAGCAGGAATCCAACCTCTATTTTGACTGTTCATCAGCAGCTTGCCAATTTTAGCAACACAGAGGTCTTACATCTAAATGTCAATTAACAGTGAGATTCTCAGATCCTTTTGGATAGAAAGTTTTTCACTTGGTGCCTCCAAGTGTCAGTCAGAAATATTTTAAGATGATCAAGTATATCCTTCAACCTTTAGACATGTTACAAAACCAGTATGTTCATTACTTTCCACTGAAGTCTGTACAAGTGGTCTTATGCTTGCTACAGGAATGATTAAAACAGAACATCTGTGCTTCTTGAACATGACAAAATGCTTTTATCTGGGGTTCTCACCGTGGAAAACGTAAAAATAAAGAAGGAGTAGTCAGATTTATGTCCTTTCCTTCCCTCCCCTGCAATTAGCCTGCACTATTACCCAACACTGGGCAGTTGAAACTTGATTCTGTAAATCTGTCTTTTGCCTAACTCTTTGACATTTCTTTTCAAATCCTATCTCATTTTCGTGCAGATCAGCAGACTCCTAAGACTCCTGTGGAAGTAAAACAAAAGAGAGCACCCTGGAGATTAAACAAGCACTATCCTGAACACTGCTGTGATCCTTCAAGTTCTACCCAGAGGCTTTATGCAAGGTACCTTTGTGCTGGCTGAACAGGGTTGACCTAAAAAACTTATAGTTGTCCAACACACAGCCTCATGAGCCACACTGCCTTGTTCTTTCTACATGACAGCCACACAAGAGCTGAAGACCTATGTTCAAAGTTATAGCACAAGACTAAAGTTTGCCTGCATTCAGTCAAAGTAGCAACAAGGACAGTGATGGCCACCCATTTCTACCAGGTAGAGAAATAACAGCTAAAGAATGAACAAACTTGCCCAACTTGCCCATTTGGCTCTGAGTTTCTTTAAGAAACAAAGTTCCACATCTTAGAACTTGGCAGGATAACTTTCAGGAGACTAAAGGCCAAAGAACGGAGTCAGACTGCCTTGGGGACAGGCCTAGACACAGTAAATTCACGTATTAGCAAAACCAAGGAGTTCTGAATAGCTAAGTCAATGTTTGTTTTCAAAAGGAACCCTTCCACCAACACCTCAGAATTTAACTCTACACAGTAGGCAGGGACAGCAACAAAGTCCATTTATAACTGAACACAATGAACTGTTTTATAGTTTTAAATTATCTTTGGAATTGAGATACACTGAACAGTGTCCTATCCAAACCTTTTTAAGCTGTCAGATGTTTTTCTTCCTATATGCATTTTGCCTGGTCCTCTGGAGAAAATTTCAAATTCCTGTAACTGTCAGCTAAGGAAGGAAGAACAACACTAACTTTTCTTTAAATTTAACAAAACAGCTCCACAACTGCTAATCAATATTTCACTACTGAGAAACTAAAACCCCTATGGTTTGCTGTTGGTATTGTGGACTTTACAATAGCTCTGAACTTAAGTAAATATCTGTTACAAAGCTCCTTTCTACATGTACTCTTGCAAGTACTCACAACAGAGGTTATAGAGTATAAGCTCTTTTCAAACAGGACAAAATAAGTCTGTATGAATAGAAGACACCAAAGGCCTGCCAAAAGCCTTAAGTCATGCCTTAGGGTGCCACTGTTTTCCCAGTATCCAAAGTATCTAAACTTTACTCTAGAGGTAGTTCCTATAGATACTGATAGATCAAATAGCTCCAGTTCCTAAGTAGTCCAATGCAGTAATTGGAGTTTCCAACCAGCTGCCCATTCCTGACTGTCAAAAATCATTCTAATTTGACACACAAGATAGAATAAAACTGAGGAAGTAAAACATAAGTAAAAATAACATTGTGATCTCTATGAACAGAGAGACACACAAAAAGTAAAGAAAAATCTTAAGTAAAGTAATTGACCTGTGAGGCAATACTTCGTATCCAAAGTTTTTTTCCCTTCTGGTCAATGAGAGACCTGAAGGGCAACAAAAAAAAGATCTGTAGAAATATACTGTCACCAAAAGGAAGACTGGGGAAAAAAAACCCCACTGCTGACTAGGAACACAGCAAAGAACAGGACACTTAGACTTTCTTTGCCTCAGTCTTTAGCAGTACAACTGACATTCAGGGATCCCAGGCCCAAGAGCAGTAGAAAGTCTGGAACAAGGAATATGTACTCTTAGTGGTAGAGGATCACAGTGAGGAATACCTAAAATGCACAGAGAAGTCCATGTGGCCTGAAAGGCTGTGCCCACAAGTGTTGGGGGAGCTGATGGATATCACTGAAAGGCAATTCTTGGTTGTCCTTTGAAAGGTCATGGGGAAGAGGGGAGGTTTCTGAGGAGGGGAAAGAAGCAAGTATCACCCATCTTAGAGCAACAAGAAACTCTCTTGCCCTCTGGGTAACTACAGTCAGGTGAAACTCAACTCAATCCCTGGGCAGGTGACAGAGGAACTAACCACGGAAGTCTCCTTCAGTCACATGAATGACATGGAGGTTACTGGATGCAGTCAGAATGGATTTCTAAAGGTGAAGCCATGTCTGACCAATCTAAGAGTCTTCTAGATTGATATGACTGCTCTGGTGAACAACGGGAGAACAGTGGATGTTGTTTATATCATCTGTACAGAGACCTGACACTGTACCTGACCTGAAATACGCTCACTAAGTGCACATTAAGTACAAACCTAATGTTTGCTTGAGTGATTCTGTGATTCTGTAAATACATACAAAGTTAAGGGGGGCAGTGACAAGACTGAAAACCAGCTGAGCTACCAGGCTCAATGGGTTGCAATCAGTGGCATGAAGTTCAGTGGGAGGCTCGTCACTGGCCTCCATCGATACTGGATCCAATACCAGATAACATCCTCACTATATGATGGGGCAGTGCACACTCAAACTTTTACAGATGTTACAAAACTTGGACGAGCAACTGACAGACCAGACATCCTGAGGGACTTCAACAGACTGGAGAACCGGGCAAGCAGGATACTCAAAAAAATTCAAGAAAATCAGAGTCCACCCCTGGAGAGAATAATCCCATGTATGACTACATACTGGGAGCTGACTGGCTGAAAAGCAGGTTGTCAGAGAACTCTGGAGTCCTCGTACGCATCAAGCTGATCATAAGCCAGCGGAATGTACCCTTGTGACACAGATGGCCAACAGCCACCTAGGCTGAATTAGCAAAAGCATCACCAGCAGGTCATTCTTCCTGTCTACTCAGCACTGGTGAGACACTTGCATGGGACTGCCTCCAGCTCTGGGTTCCCCAGTGCAGTAAGATATTTTTTACACCTAAGATATAACACCAATCACAGGTTACCCTTCATGGAAAGTACCCCAGTGACTACTCATGTATCCTAACTGACATATACTCGAATGTGAGCAGATTAGTCACAGGAATGACACACATTAAACCAAAATCAGCGGTTCATCACCAATATCCAAACACTATATCTAGCCATCTTGCTAAGCACCAGAAATTCTGGCCAGGCAAGAAATCAAAGAAACATAACTTCAGAAACCCAGTGTAACTTGATTTTTTTTGACAAAATATTACTAGCTATCTTTGATTCTTGTAAGTCAGCACCACTAGAGAAAAACAGGGACACCATAAAATATTACTGGTGTAAGGGAATTAATTCCTATGCAGGAGAACATTGCCTGGAGTATGGGATATACAGGTTTTTTTCTCTATTGATGTCAAAGTCCAGTGATTTCAGTTGTGATACAAATTTAAAGCAGAGACTCTCTAGATTCATCTCCCTACCTGTATCCTGTCAGTTTGATCATTCCATAATTACTTGCTGATAGTTCTAGATTTAGTCTCTTCAAACAATTTCCATACAGACTGAATTAACAGCTGTGCTAAGATTTTAATTCCACAGCTACTTCAACAAGTGAACAATTACAGTTATGCAATGTCAAAACCACTGAACAGAAAGCAAGTCAAGAACCGACTGAAAGCCTACGGTTTTAAATATTTAATGATGACACACACTGTACAACACTGAACAGCACTACTATGGAGATATCAATTTAAAAAACAGTTTTACTGAAATTTTCCACTGCAGTTACTAGGAAAGACACTTGTTTCTAGAAATGCAAACATTACACCACCAAATTCAAGCATTTTCACCGCTGCTTTAATATTTCATTTAACATCACGATTAACCATTTTACAATTTTCAAGTGATAGCTCTGGGAGTTGGCAGGTTAAGTAAAGAAGTTGCCAAAAATAAGAGACACAATCCCTACAAATGAATTTTTCGGTTTCTTACTATCTGCTATTTCCTATAGACACTTCAGTACCATGCTTGAAGCTCTTTTTTCTTATAGCTTATTATTAGTATAAAGTGCAAATAGAAGTAGTATTTGTATTCTCTCAAAGAACTTCAGAATTTACTATCAGTTTCTCCTAAGCACTTCTACTTGACATATTCTCAAAAGTTTTTAAATCTGAAATCTTTAAATATTAAAATCAGGATTTCATAGAATAGAATCATAGAATCGATTGGGTTGGAAAAAGACCTCCGAGATCATTGAGTCCAACCCTTGGTCCAAATCCAGTCCATTTACTAGATCATGGCACTCAGTGCCACGTCCAATCTGCGTTTAAAAATCTCCAGGGATGGTGAATCCACCACCTCTCTGGGCAGCCCATTCCAATGCCTGATTACTCTCTCTGTAAAGAATTTTCTCCTGATATCCAACTTAAATTTCCCCTGGCGGAGCTTAAGCCCGTGTCCCCTTGTCCTATTGTTGAGTGCCTGAGAGAAGAGACCAACCCCCAACCTGGCTAGAACTTCCCTTCAGGTAGTTATAGACAGTGATGAGGTCACCTCTGAGCCTCCTCTTCTCCAGGCTAAACAACCCCAGCTCCCTCAACCTCTCCCCATAGGACTTATGCTCCAGTCCCTTCACCAGCCTTGTTGCTCTTCTCTGGACCCGCTCCAGCACCTCAATATGTTTTCTGAACTGAGGGGCCCAGAACTGAACACAATACTCAAGGTGTGGCCTCACCAACGCAGAGTACAGGGGAAGGATCACTTCCCTGCTCCTGCTGGCCACGCTGTTTTTGATACAGGACAAGATCCCATTGGCCTTCTTGGCCACCTGGGCACACTGCTGGCTCATGTTGAGCTTCCTGTCAATTAGTACCCCCAGGTCCCTTTCTACTTGGTTGCTTTCCAGTCACTCTGTCCCCAGCCTGTAGCGCTGCATGGGGTTGTTGTGGCCAAAGTGCAGGACCCGGCACTTGGCTTTATTGAACTTCATCCCATTGGAATCAGCCCATCTCTCAAGTCTATCCAGATCAATTTCAGTCAATGTTTACATTCATTAACTACCAGTGTAATCTTTCAGCTTAGAACACTGCTTGCCCTTCAGGACAAGTTCTTTTAAAATGCATGCTTCAGTGGAAAAAAAAAAAAAATCCAGTAAAAAATTACCATCCAGTGTGTGCAGATGAAAATGGGTTAAACCTATCTGCAAACCAGACAGATTTATACTGAGAAGAGGAATACATTAGGAATATGTAAGCCCTCTTGGCAAGTATAATAAAAACAAGGACGTATTTTTGTTACAGCAATGTTCTCAGAGGCCTTTGTGCCAGGCACCGTGCACTTAAATTTGTATGAGACACCATGACTCAAGACTTCTTCTTAATTCAATTTCTAGTAAGAAGATGCTGCAGCACACCTCAGAGATGAGGTCTGAGCTATCACTAGCCAGCAATATATCATCTGAAACAGGAGAGTACACTGCTGTATATTCATCAGGTTTACTTCCTGTATCCCCTCAAATGAGAAGACAAGACACTCAGACACAGACTTCCCTCTGCAAAGGTGACTTACACTCAACTCTGTAGAACTACAAGTGGATATTGCTCAACACAGCTTCACTTATGTATGTAGATTAAGATAATCAATATAACCATATCTGATAAAGCTGCTGCTTTCACAGCTTGTTGTGCAATAGGCAATGCATTCAAAAAATGGACACCAAAGTCACAGACTTTCAGCATTATCAGAAGAGGTTTCACTGTTTCAGTCCACATCTCAAAAGCGCTCCAGCTCTGACAACTACAACCTGTGCCAGTGTCACCAATCTGCGGTTGGTCATGGGATCCACATCCGCTCTGTTCCCAGAGGGAACAGCTGAGGGCATGAATGGACCAACCTGACAGGCTGCTCCTCTATAAAACCAGACCATCACAATCAGATTTGGCCATGAAGTAGTAGAAGGCTTAGAATACGTTCAAAGTGATTACTGATGGGCATAGTAGTTCACATGAACATGACTAGACAACACAGAAGTACCTGTATTTTATAAAGCTCTTTCTTGGAACAATTTTTACCTGAATAACATGGTTTTGCCAAAGAGCTGTACCCTAACTATATCATAACTATTTAAGACTCCCAAATATAAACCCAACACCAATTTTTGAGTAAGAGGAAAAAATAACACAGGTATTTATTTTACAAAATTAAGGAATGAGCACTCTGCAGGTAAATTCCATTGAAATAAAGTGAAGTCTCCTTACAGATAGTCCTTTGTAGCTCTTAGTAGCTGTTTACAGCAAAGTCTTCTAATGTTACATATTTAGAACCTTCACTCTAAGCATGTTAGCATACCGGCTAAAAGGTCTCCAGCATCTGAGCCTTCCACCAAATTAGTTACTGGACAGAGAATAGCCTGCTGACACAAAAATGAGTACTGGAGCTCAGAAAGACTTTTTACTTTCATTCCTCTTTGACCATGTTTCTTTATTTAACTCTCATCAGTCAGGAAACCACCACCATAACCTCTTGTGCTACTTGCCCGCAGCATACCCGCACTGACCCCACCTTCCAGCGTGCAGCAAGCTGAAAGCTCTATCACCACAACAAAGCTAGGAAAATGAGCTAGCTGCTCAAGTTCAGTTTCTACACTGAAACATGAGATGGGAATTATGCGCTACAATCACAGAATAGCAGTTCTGCTGTTTTGCCTTTAAAGGGATCAATACAGAAAAATATTTTAAAATCTGCAGTCTTGTTAAAAATAAGCATTTAACTCAGAATTTAAGTACAAATAAAAGATATTAAACAAAAGGAGATTCGGTCTCCAAACATTTTCATTTTCCTACTTCTCACGTACTTTTACTGTCAAAAGACCTTTCTCCACACTTTACATTCATGGTTCGGATCTGGTAACACCCCCTTTTCCCACTCATGCCCAAACAGTGAGAGCACCAAGAAATTCAGACACTTAGAATGGAAAAAGTAGTCAGATTTCACAGAGAATAAGGGTATGCAGCATAATATTAAGCCCTCTACGTAATACAACAGAACAAAGTCTCTGAACAACAGACCCCAATTAACCTTATGCTTTTGGAGTTGAGGTAGATTTGTTCACACATTTTCCCTTCTTCTGAAGGAAATAAATAAACTTCAATTTCTCTGTGTTTTGTCGAGGGACAAAACTGACAGAAACTGTGGCAAGCTCATCCCTTGGGTCTCTCTTGCACTATTCCATGGGCACATCTCCTAGAAAGGCACACAAAACATCTATTGCCACAGCTATCACTTCAGTGAAGTATTTATCTCACAGCCTTTCAGGAAAAACTATAACTGCATAGATAAAAGACAACCAGAGTCAATATTTAATATGTAAAAAAACCCCAAAAAACAAAACACAAACAACAACAAAAAACCAAGCAAAACAAAACACTAACTTGGAAGCTGCTAGCTTAACAGATATCTGTTTATCTTCCTCAAAGGTAAGTAAAACCATATTTTACAAAATTTAAAGCATTCTTCCAAAGAGAATGTAAAAAACCTCCATACCTAGGAAAGCCCTAGCCTACCTAAAGGATTTTGCCTAATTAGAGGACTTAGCATAGCATGGGAAAAGCAGAGTACAAAAGATGCACCATCAATCTCAGCGGTAAGAAACAGTTTTTCACTAGTTTTGTTGGCATTTTTTTGCTTGCTTAAAGCTTTGTTTTTGAGCAAAGCTTGCAGTCTTCCTTCAGCTCCATACAGTACTGCTGGCCCCTTTGAATATGCCCATTTCTGTGTTAGAAACACCCAATGCAGCTCAGAAAGGACTTTAATGCACCTACTGAGGCTTTATGTCTGCAAACCTGCTCAGCAGCCTTACAATTATCTGCCCTGGTCCAAGGATTCTCTTCCTCAGAGAAAGCAAGGATGGACTCTTGTAAGAAACTCCAATCAGCAGCAACATGGCCCTTGGGGCTCAAACAGAAAACAGACTATGTCATTGGTGAAGGTGAGATTAGCTCATTTTATGGTTTGGTCTGACACGCTGTATACAAATGAACAACCGTGTGGCCATAATGTGGTTTACAGGAAGTGACAGCAATATGCTTTTAGAAGTGAATCCTCCTCTCAGTATTATTCTGCTATGGGAAAAACAAGCAGCCACTTTAAGCTGGTTAAGTAACATTCAAAGTCAGAGGAGAAAAGGCGTGTGTGTGTGTGTGTGTGGTATTAAAATGAAAATGCTGTCAAAGCTTTAACTGTTAACACAGCTAAAAAACTGCATAACTACAGTTTACAAAACTCCTGCAGAAATTTAAGAAAAAACCCCTACCTTTACCTTTGTTTCAAGACAAATTGTTCTTCTGCCTCAGATCTGCTAGAGCAGTTAAAATTTTACCTTAAGAATACAGTCCTGAGTATGGCGTTACCCTGTCAAGACCACTACATGTTCTAGCAAGATAGCCTCTCTCTCAATATTTGCTGATTGATAACATCAGTAAAAATCACTGGCTTTCATTAAACCTCCACATAGAATTCCCTTTTGCCCCTCACTAGAACAATGTTCTTTAATGTTGGGGGAAGTGGGGGTGAGAAATAACAAGGTAAGGAGGGTTTCTCTCACCTTCACAGCTCACTTGCCTCTGGCATTTTAATAGACTTCTTACACAATTCATTGTATTTCATTGCTACCCAGGGACATTACTTAACGAAAAAATTACTACAAAGTGATACTACCAAATTTTTTCTCCACAAGTATCAGTAGCAAAGACAGGAACAATCTCAATCTTTTACATGCTGCACTAAACTCAGAAATCAAACCATCATGTTTCTTTTTAGTATTTTGTTATTTTCCATTAAATGTAAAAAGCATTTTCAAGAGCAGTACCATCGGTAAAATTTAAGGGTGGAGCTGTTGAACGGCTAAATTGGAGCATAATTCCTTTAAAATGAATCTTCTTGTAAATCTCAGTAATGGTTCAGGGCACCAAGTGAAACTACACTACATTATGCCAAGTTTTAAGGACACTCTGACTCAAAGGACACTAATGAAGTTGCAGCACATCCCTCACTTCAAAAGTCTTCCCATGCTGTACTGCACTTCTTTGGGCATTCATAAAGGTGATATTTTAGTACTCACTCTTCTACTCAAGTCCTAACTAGCTCTTCTCATTACACAGTTTTCTACAGGAGGGCAGTCAGTTAGGTGATGATGGCAAAATAGAACATCTCGTACTCGTAGCCAAAGAATTTGACGAACTTCATTCCAACACCGAGGTTGGCAGAATGTTACATGTTAAGCCTGTTTTTATTTTAAATATATGCAAATTTACAAAGTAGTGGGAAAAAAACCTACAGATTTAATACTTTAGATAAATTATTTCTTAAATTTCTACTTCCTTGACAGGTAATAATTACCCATGTAAACATCCCCATAATCCAAAGAGCTTCAGAGGAGGAAAACCCTATTAAATCTGACTTCTAAGCAGCACTAGGCTAGGTAAAACACAGCTAGATAATCAATGCTATCTTAAAATAAAAGGTCTACTCCCAGGCCTCTAGCTGGACAGACTATTTTTTTCTGCTTTCAAACACATATTTGCATACATGTTTATGCATCTCACTGGCATTCTTGATTAACAAAACTTGCATGCAGGGGCTCTGCCTCTTCAGGCCCTCTCACACTAGTGAGTTAGGGATAGAACAGTGGAAGCTCCTCAGCTCTAGTTCACCTTTAAAGGGAGGAAGGAGCACCACATGATGACACTGTCATCTTCAGTGTCCCCTTGGCAGCTACAGTCCACAAAGGACTGTGCCCAGTATTAAAGCAGCCTAGCATTCATGAAGAAAAGCCAGATATTTTCCTGTGTCTTTCTGCTACCTCTAACAGTGCAGGTAAAAAGCTACCTCCTATTCACCACCTTGCACAGCTCTAAGCCAGTTTAAAGACAGGCCATTTGTTTGCCCACTCCTTTTCAGACCAAGAACCTGAGTACACCTTCTTGTTAATGCAGGAGTCTTTTACTCCACATTTTACTCCTCCCTTGAAAGATATTCCTATTTATACAATCTCTCAATAAATTCACTTTTTTTTTTTTTAAGAGTTTTCCTAAGAACATGGTGAGGAGAAGCCACTGAGGATTTCTCCTCTCCCGAGCAAAAGCCAACCCAACAAAAACATGCACTGAATTTTCTTATCACTATGTGTAAATCAGTGATTCATAACCTTCTTGCTTCTCTTAGTTCTCCACATTTGGGAAGAACTTGTCTTTCCAGGACAAGCCAAATGAAAAAAGGAGCCAAGCAGGTAACCAGAAAAATCACTCCATGCACAGAAATATACATTTTTACTGTCTCAAACAGAACAAAGTGCCTGTCAGCAGCATCATCTTCCAAAAGAGAAAAATCCACAGAAAACACTTTACCTTTTATAAGATAGAACTCATTTTCACACTGAAGTTGCACAATTAAATGAAGCCCAAACTTCACTACATACACGATGTAACCACGTTTACATTGCAAAGAACCATAAATTATGCCACA